GAGCTGCCAGGCTTTGTAAACTGCTCTCTTTGCTCCAGTGTACGCAGTTTTTGGATTTACCAGCGTGGTGAACCTCATCATAGGACTGGAACAGGACGGAGTCATTGACGGGTTCATGACGTACTACCTGAGAGAGGTATGGGATCGCTACACAAATATGAACCTTCAGCCAAAGGGCCGGCCACCCAAGCCGCTTTGCTCAGAGATGAAATCCTTTCGCTTGGTGTAAGCAAGTACGATACACGGTATTTCACTGACTGCCAGAAGCAGAAGCCGTTTATTCACATGGAAAGTGAGGATTAGGTCATGGGAAGCAATTCTTTTCGATGTGTAGTCTTAACTCCTGACTCACATCTGGTCCACGACCTTTCCCCTTAACTTGTATTTAAATGAACGGAGGGTTTGTGTGTCTGTTATTATCAAGATATCTCTACATCTGAAGTCCGTCTTAGGTGGGTAAAACACCAAACGCTGAGGCCGTATGATTGCAGTGACCTCCCCATCACAGCATCAGAGCTACCTGGCACCTGAGAAAGCTAGTCCTCTTTTCTTATTGGATGGTGTGATGAATCCAGCCCCAGAGAGCTGAAGTAACTTACTCAAGGTCACTCACGCAAAAAATGAAGAGCAGAGCTGAAAGTAGTCTTCATCTGGTTTCAAATAATGGGGAACATTATACAAAGCTTCATCCCCTCTGTGAGGGAAGTTTTAAGACAGGGAACAATGCAGTCGGCTTTGGGAAGGAAGGGCTTGAAAGGAAGGGTGAGCGGGGACATCAGTCAGGAGGCTTTGAGCAGCTAGGGTGAGTAGGAGTTGGGGACAAGCTGGGGGTGACGGGGAAAGGTCCAAGATGAAGTCGTGCTTCCTGCCTCCACGTCTGATGTGCGAGATGGCATGATCCCAGTGCAGGGACAGAGACTCACCCTCAGCATTTTTTAAGAAAGGAAATAGCAGTGGACTGTTAACATTTTCTGGGTGTACTAGGGAGGTGCAGAGCCTTCGAACGAGAAGGGACCGTTTGGGCAAAAGCTTCGAGATGAGACAGAGCCTGTTATCTCCACACTGCCAGCCTGGGGCACAGGTTTGCAGGGATGACGCTGAGTTCGGTTGGGGACACGCAGAGTTTTAGGCAGTTGAGGGACATCCTGGCAGATGTCCCCGCTGGCAGGGCTTTGCAGGTCTTGAGCCCTGAGGAACGTTCCTGGTGGAGAGGTCGTGGGCCATCGAGGACAGCTGGTACCTGAAGGTCTGAGAGGATAGAAGCTGGGAGAGAAGAGGGACGAGGAAGTTTTGGCGGCTCTGGGGTAGTTTCGTGGTCCTACCAATTTCGTAATTTTATAGGACGAAGAAGTTTCATTTTAGCAGACTAACACAAATTACTTGTTCCACTTTACTTGGAATACAGGCCCGGCGTTCTGCACGGAAGCGTGTGAGTCTTACTTAAAGCGGCCTTCTTCTTAATGCTTCCCTTAGGGTGAACCGCATCTGAACACTGCGCACGGGCACGTGATCTGCTACTGGGACGGCTCTGTGCATTATCTGATGTATCTGGTGATGGTGGCAGCCATAGCCTGGGAGTAAGTCAGTGCACCTGGTGTGTGTGTGTGTGTGTGTGCGCGTGCCTTTGCCACCTCAGCGCCCCATAAGTGGGGATGTAAGGAAAACATGCAGAGAGGCAAATGCAGGCGTCAACGGATACAAACACATGCTTGACAGAGAGGAGTTACAGGTGGCTTTATGTTCTGTGCTCCACTGCCTTTTGAACATGTCCTTCTGGACTGGGGTCTGCTTAAGTCCATTGTAAACATGAACCATAACTTCTTTATCCAGCTGTCTGCTGATGGGCATTTAGGTTGCTTCCATATCTTGGCTATTGTGACGATGGGCACATGCGCATAGAGCTTTACGCATTGTTTTGGTTTTCTTTCAATACATACTCAGAAGTGCAACTGCCAGGTCAAAGGGTAATTCTATTTTTAATTTTCTGAGGAACTTCCAAACTGTTTTCCAGTGGCTTTTGCAATCCCACCAACAAAGTATGAGAATTCCCTTTTTCCCCACACACTCACCAACACTTGTTTTTTATTGATGATGGCCATTCTGACAGGTGTGAGGTGAGAGCTCACTGTGGTTTTAATTTCCAGTTCCCTGATGATTAGTGATCTTGAACATCTTTTTACGTCTATTGGCCATCTGTATGCCCTTTTTGGAGAAATACCTATTCAGGTCTTCTGCTCATTTTTTAAGTGGATTGTCTTTCTGTTTAGTTCAATGAGTTCTTCATAAATTTTGGCTATTCATCCCTTATCAAATGTATCATAGGCGAACATCTTCCCCCATTCAGTAGGTTTTCTTTTCGTTTTGTTGATGGTTTCCTTTGCTATGCAAAAACTTTTGTTTGATATAGTCCCATCTGTTTATTTTTCCTTTAGTTTCTCTTGCAGAGGAGATACAGCAGAAAATTACTGATAGCAATGTCAGCGAATTTACTGCCTATGTTTTCTTCTAGTTTTATGGTTTTGGGTCTTAAGCCCAGCACATTCTAATTCAAAACTTCAATCTTGTGTCAGTACAGAGCTCTCTCTTCCCCTGTTCGGGTGAAGCGCTGAGGCTTAGGGGCCTGCGCTGAGGCTGGGGTGCACAGTCTGTCCTTCGATTCCTTCTCAACTCACTGCGCTGGCTTCTTGGGAATGCACGTACATGGGGTTAAAGGAAGAGGGGCAGTCTAGTGACACGTGCTGGCCTCTGGGTATTGGTACCTCCATCAGGACACGCTAGCTGTCCGTGTGGCACACCCGCGGGCTCTTTGAAGACCCCTACCACAGGGGCCTTTGCACTGCACCCTCCCCGCCATGAGCACAGCTGACTGCGCTGCCTATGCTGGTCCACCCACAGCTTCGTTGTGCTGGGCTCCCTGTAGCCCAGAAGGCACACCCTTTGGGGCGGGATCCTTTCAAGATGGCTCACGTCCAGCTCTGTCCCAAGCTTCCCCTTAGCTCCAAGTTAGAGAAAGCCATGCATTCTTTTCTTGCCCCAGACAAGGTTGGGAGTCAGAATGACCTGCTCTGTGCCTCCTCTCCCTCCGATCACGAAGTCAAGGGCAGCTCCAGCTAATCTTTGACCTGTCCTAGGCGCCAGCCTCTCTTTGTGAATGTCCTCAAGCTCTAGGGCACATGTCAGGTGTTTCTGAGAATGCCTGGGCTCTGCTTGGAGGCTGCCAGTTTCTACGTCTTCGTTAGCTTCCAGCTGGGGAAGATGCTTGCCTGGCATCCTGCTGACGGTCCTTCATTGCTCCCCATCACTGCAGATGTGCCTCTTGCGATCTGTCGCATTTGGCTTGGGGGTGGGGCAGAGCAAGAAGCACAGAGTATTCTCCACTTCTGTCCCCTTCTGACACCCTCACAGCCCCTTACGCAGGTGGGTCACGGGGTTATCAGTTGAAAGCACTTTTTGTCAACATCGCCTATTAAGATCAGGGGTATATATATGTCTAGCAGCTCCTTCAGCACATGGGGTACACCCTACTTATTATCTTCATCTCTGGGACTCTGGCCAAAAATTCTTTGACACCAGGGAACATCCATTAAACATTCTATTACTTATACTTACAGTGACTTAAGATATGGATCCGGTTTCATTTCTTCTTTGAACCTTCTTTCTCGTCTCACGCGTAGCAGCGACGCAGGACCCCTTTCAGTGAGAGGCACATTGCAGTTAACGCCTCAGTGCGGTAAACCTAATTCCTGTTCAGAAGGACACACAGGGTTCCAAAGTTGATCGCATGTGGACATGGAGTAAATTTTGATTCGCGTACTCTTACTAATTAGAATGGAGATAATACTGCGGGTTTGTGAATAGTATTCTAAGTGCACTAAGCCAAGATTTTTTTTTTACAGGGAAAGTTATAGAACCATTGGTCTATACTGGCTTGGATCTATTACTATGAGTGTTATTGTTTTTGTGCCAGGAAACATTGTAGGTAAGAAACTTTATCGTAAAATTCACTTTCCTTTTCTCAAACAATGGGGATTGTTTTCAAACAGAGAAGCTGTTTGGGTTGTAATTGAACCAAGAAATTCCAAGCTTACCAAAAAGCTGTTTTGCAGTATTTGTTTTCCCCTCTTTAATCTCACCTTTTAAGAAATGCTTTTGAGCAATTTCCAGAAGTGTACACTGAACAATTAAGAAATTTCCTATCAGTGATTCCTGACTTTCGAAGGGATCTAGAGGGGGTATTGTCTTTTGATTACACTCAGTATACAAATACTTCTTATAACTCTTATTCTATTTAACTCTTGACCCACTATGGGAAGTTGATAAATGTGCTTGAGAATTAAGACTCTTGAAAGCTAATGTAAAGGTTATTCTGCATGCAAGAAATCAGGGTATTATATTAAATATATTTTTAAAATAGTCTAGATAAGACATGCCAGTTAAACACCTAATAGTTTTAAAGTTGACCTTTTTGTGTGTCTCATTAAAAATATTGTCCGGTCCATAGCAAAATTTTAGGTGACGAGATGGGGAGTATCCTAAATGTTACTTATTTATGCTCTTGGTAAACTTCTGACTTTCTCTTTCTGTCTTTTAAATAGGGAAGTATGGAACACGCATTTGCCCTGCTTTTTTCTTAAGCATACCATACACTTGTCTTCCTGTGTGGGCTGGTTTCAGAATCTATAATCAGCCATCAGAAAATTACAATTATCCTTCAAAGGTGATTGTTATTAAGTTACATGTAACCTGTTCTCAAACTCACAGGGTTCACTCACATCCACTAGCTACGTGCCTCCACGAACCGGAGTATTTACGGTAGTCAATCAATGTGACTGTGTTGATTATGCAGCACTGGCTCACATCTTAGTTTCAGTGGCCGATGCTGTCTGACTATGGCTGCCTCCTGTGCCAGTGCTCACCTTGGCCCTTCCCTCAAATTCTGCGTGAGTGTGCCGAGTGTGTGGTTTGCCTGGGGCCGCCGATGGTCTGGAGTTTGAGCATCTGGGCGTCCCTTCAGGAGATACCTATGCATTTATTGCCCCAAGGGGAGGCCGGGAGATAATGCCCTTCAAGGGGGCACACACAGTCATAGGGTCTGATTACCAAGATGTCCAGGCACATGGAGACCAGCTTCAGGACGTCTTCTGAGACAGCAAGTGGTCAAGGTGAAACAGAACTGGCCGGGCAGGTACTCTGTTAAGGTCTTCATTTCTGAGCTAGTGACATCTTTCTAAGTTTCTTTTCCTTTTATAAGTATTAGGTCCTTAAGCAAGATCCTTTAAGCAAAACTTAAATATATGAAAATATGAATTACTAGAGATAATCGGAACACGATTATTCATTTTACTAAAAGATTTACCATAGAATTCATCAAAATACATTTTAATTTACAAACATTTCATTTGCAAATATTTAGACAAATGCCATGTAAACCGAGGTCGGCACACTGACAACTGGTACTCCCCTACATCCTTTTGAGGAGTGAGGTGGTTGTTAAAAAGAAAAAGCAAACAGTAGCCTGTCTTGGTCCTCATTCCGCTGCTTTTGAAGGCTCCACGTCAGTGTGTCAACAGTGCTCATGTCATGAGACACACGACTGTTTTTTTTCCCTGTTAAAACACAGGGATGGCCAGGGAGAAATGGACACTGTCACGCAGTGCTAATAGGAACATAAATTCAGAATCGCTCTGCAGAGCAAGTTGGCCGGGTCCTCAAGCTTAACAAACTTAATCCTTTAACCTAGTAATTCCACTCCCAGGGCCCTATCCTGAGAAAATAAGCAGAGAGATCCTGTCAGAGATTTATGTACAGTGTTGCTTATCACCACCTTTAAGTGCAACGTGAAAATGCCTAAATGTCCAACCATTGAAAAATAGCTAAAATATAGTGCTTCTATATGACATTAAGTTTTAGAATTTTGACTTGTGTGGGAAAGTATTTATAATATATGTAGATGTTGAGTTTCAAAAGAACAAAGTTGTTTGTGAATTAAATGTGTGTACACACACACACACACACACACACCATTAAGTCCTAATTTTGTGAAGAATAAATGTGTGTACACACACACACACACACACACACACGTATCCAGAAAAATATAGCAATTATTAATAGTAGGGTGATGGGTTTATGGTTCATTTTTAAAATGAGCAATCTTACGTTTATAATCACAAAAATGCTATTTCAAGAAAAAATATGAACTCAAAGCTAGAAGGGCCCTTCAAGATCATATGGCCCAATCTGCTCATTTCCCAGATGAGGAAACTGAGACTCGGGATGGAACATGATTTTCCTAAAGCTGCATGCCTGCTGGTTTGTGATGTGAATCGTGAATCTGCAGAGTTCTCTCATGATCCATCATCACAGCATTTATGTTTTGGCAGATCTCAGATTCTCCTTTAGCACTTTGGCCTGCTCATTAGTTATAAACTCTATTTTAGGTCATTCAAGAAGTCCAAGCGAAGGACCTGCTGAGAAGACCATTTGATTTAATGTTGGCTATATGTCTCCTCCTGGCAACTGGATTTAGCCTGTTTAGAGGCTTGGTAAGAATAGCAAATCACAACTTTAAATACAAGATCTAGGTCTGTATCTCTATATATCAGACTCCCTAGCACACCAACAAGACATCCTTCTCATTAGAGCCTGGAGAGCTGGACCTGCTTCCTGCCACTCTCCCACCTGGGCCAGCCCCAAACCTCCCCTCTCAAGGGGGTGGTCCATTCTGGCTGCTTCATCCCACCTCCTTCGGGTCTTGAGATGAAGCTCTAACCAGAAGTATCTTCCTTCCCCTGTTTAAGGGCACCTGAAAAAACTAGCCAGTAGAGTCTCATTCTTTTGATGTTTCAGATTTAAGTATCTTGGGTAAGGGTGATAACTTGAGACTGCAATAAAACTGTGGCCCATAACCTCTGTGTGTTTTCAGGAGCAGAGGGATGGAGCTGAGGAAGAGCTATCAGAATAAGGAGTCAGAACCCTGGCCACTTAACTAGCTGTGTGGCCTTGGAAAAATTACTTAATCTCTTTGGCCCTGTTTCTTCCTCTCTATAAAATAACAGAATCTATCTTATAGTATTGTTTTGAAGGTTAAATAATGAACATCAGACACCTGTAGAGGGCCTTATATGTAGTAAGTGCTCAATAAATTACTGATGTTACTATTTTTATTGATCAATGAATTCTTCACAATGCCCTCATTTCATGATTTATTCTTAGTAGAAACAAATTAGAGCAGCCAGAATTATATGGTTAATTATATTCAGCTTCAGTGGCAATTACTAGCTGTTCTAAGCCTGCTGGCACTGCATGACCTTTGGGGAGCAGTGGTGAGTGTATGCTGATGTTGTGGATTCAATGTTTTGGAGTTGGCTGGCTGAGTTCGGGGTGAGAAGCTGTCTAAAGGTGTGGAAGGAGAGTCAGCTTACAAGAGAGGCACAGGAAGTGCAGGGTAGAGCAGGGCCACAGGCTTTGCTCGGGCCAGAGCAGTGAAACTGTTCTGATTAGTTTACCGTAATCCCCAAAGTCAGAACAGTAATGGGCCCTAACCGTGCTCCCGTGCAGGATATGCACTGCCCTGTGCACGTGAGAATGTCGGGGTGCTTGGTGGGTGGGGCCTTTAGGTGGGGGCCCCTTTTTACCAACTCTGCCCCTGGCCTGTGTTCATGTGTGTTATCTAGGTGGGACATCTATGACCATGGACATGGGGAACGATGCCCAAGGGAGGCGACTCAAAGGGGACCCAGTAATGTGCCAAAGATACACTTTGTCTATTCTGTGGCCTAAAATCCACTCTGCCATGACTAAACCTGCTGTTCTCTTTAAAGTGGACACAGGAGGTGACTTTGGACTAAAGGACCCTGCTTTCAAATCCTTGTCCTTTACTGCCCCCAAAGGCCATATACTCTGAGGCACTGGACAGAGGAAGATGCTATTTTTAAATCTTGCAAAGCATAGTAAGATGAGCTTGGAATAGAAAAGCACTCTTCTCCCCGCGGGGAACAGTTGGCTAGTTATTCCCAGGAAGAGTGAAGCTGGTGATCTAAGGCCGGCTGTGCACTGGCTAGTGAAACCCAGACACTTAAACTGAACACTCAACAGGCACCAGCTCCTGTTCCACTGTTAACCTCTGCTTAATCGCCTTAGAGTAAATCTGATGAGCTTCTACAATAGTTTTTGTTACATAGAAAGCAGCTTGTGACTAAACCTGGCACATTTAGCCTTATCAGCAAACTTAAGAACCAGGTGTGACTGCATTTCGGTAACGAGTTCGTTTCTGTTCTCAGATTGCTTTGGATTGCCCAGCTGAGCTCTGCCGATTTTATGCACAATTTCAAGAGCCCTATCTGAAGGATCCTGCTGCTTACCCGAAAATCCAGGTCCTGTAGTTACAAAGCCTAAGACTTTTCTGAAATCAAGTTCCTCTCTTTAAAATCGGGAAAAATGTGGTCCCATGTAGGAAATGAGAATTAACATTTTCAAAAATGAGAATGTTAACTCTTTGTGCTGTTCTTCAGATCAGGTTAACTAATAGTTTGCTGATGTTGTTTCTCTGTTCAGTACAGATGCTGGCTTATCTGTTCTATTCTGTCCCTTACTTTGTGGTTGCACTTTATGGCTTAGTGGTGCCCGGATGCTCCTGGATGGCTGACATAACACTGATTCACGCTGGAGGTCTTGCTCAGGTACTAAGAATATGCTCCATTACGAAAGTTTACTGGGAATTTGGCCTGGCATGGTTGAGTATCTGAAAAACGTCTCTGCTCAGTATTTTAGGGTAGGAAATACTAATCAGACATGGTGTCCCCTTTGGTTTTACAGTTCTTTAGAAGACGTTTTTGCATATACATTACATTTAAATCTCACAGTAGCTACCTGGTAGGTGCGCCATCAGTTGTATAGACGAGGCCCAGCGAGGTTACATGCTTTGTCAAGGTCACGTACCCAGCAAATGGCACTGCTGTTTATAGTACCATTTCCCAGTCTCTGAGCACCACGGCTACTAAAGAGAATTCAGAGCGGTTATCTTTAAGATGTCTCCCTAAATTTCAGATTTCAGAATTCCACTATGCTATGTTAGACAGAACCAGGGAACTCGTTTTAAAAACACTCTGCTCCTGGGCCCGTCATTCCACTGCTCCTCCTGCTACTTAGCCCGCCTCTGGCTAGGAGCAGGTGCTCAGTGAACACAACACTGCACTGAAAATTAAAGTAGCTGTGGAATGATTTTACACGGAGTACACATAACAACTAGCACAACAAACTGATCTCATGAATAAGAAAGAAAATTAATTTTATCTTTTATTTTCTTACTATAAGAAACCAAATGAACTTATCTTTTAAAATTATCTTCACCTTGTTCATTTCAAGCAGGCATAAGAATGGGATTTATCCAGATACTCTAGGCATATCCAGTTGATTATGATCATGGCATAGTAATTGTGATGGTGGCAAAAACAAACAAACAAACAACAAAACACTAGAAGGTTTAGAATGTTGAAAAAAGTCATGGCATTTATGGTTAGTGCATTTGGCTAGATCCTTCCAGTCTGAGGTACTCTGTAGGAGCTTAACTCCTTTATCAATTGGCCTCTGAGGAAATTGGTTTTGTTATAGATGCCATTTCACTTACATTGCAGAACCCAGCAATGGCACTGAGGAGTTAGTTACTGCATTGATATCCAAAACGTTGGAGGCACCAGAAGCAATGGCTCCTGTCCTTTCCTGGAAGGACTTAAACTAATATTTATCCTCTTTGCAGACCTCTAAATTCCTGATTCCTCAGGCTTTGGTTTTAGGTCTTTGTTTCCCTATCTTTCAATACCAACTACAAGCTGACATCTTCCAATTTTGTCTTTAGCTCAAACTGTTCCCGGTTACAGTTATTTAAATTCCAAACTCAGGCCTTTCACTTGGATGTCGCAGTCATCCCAGACTTAGTGTCTAAAACAGGAGTCTCGGTTCTCCCCACAACTGCTCTTCCGTTTGCCCTCAGCTTCCTTGCAGCCAGCAGCTCAAGTTGAAAACTTGGACTTACTTATTTTATATTTCCTATTCCCTCATCTTCTGTAGCTAGCCTATCATTGTGTCCAGTTAGTTTTGCCTCCAGAGTGAGCCTGCTGCCACCGCAGTAGTCTGAGATGCCATCACCATGCTTTGTGAGAACCACACTGAGATTTCCTTATCTATGTGTGCAAGCACAGGCTACACGCTCTCTTGGAGTAGCAAATACTCAGTGGCTTAACACAATAAAGCTGTATTTCTTGCTTATGCGAAGATCATGTGGGATCTTTCAAGAGCCAGGCGAGGCACCAACCTGACCGCAAGGGAGCCGGGTAAATGTGGTCTTCCTGTGTGACGGACACACAGCATCATCTCTGCAAGTTTTCAAAAACCCTCAGAGATGAGAAAGCTGAGGCTATGAGCAGCTCATTACTTGCCTAAGGTCACAAACTTACTAAGTGGCAAACTAGGGATATGAAATCCTGTCTGACCCCCAAGTTCACATTCTTCTCCACTGTTAGCCCTCTCTTCATGCAAACAATTAGCCGTGGTACAGACCCCATAGCACAACGTAAGACTTTGTACATGGCGGAGAGGGGCTGAAGAACCTTCGGGGAGTGGGATGCAGTGACATGTGAGCTAGGCTGTGAGCTTTATCAGACTGAGGATGCAGCATAATACGGGGTGTATAGCAGGTCAGAGGGTAAAGTCTTGGCTTTTGTTTTCTAGGCCTGACTCCCCTGCCTCATTCTGGGGCCGAGGGCCTCCCACTCAGTCCTCTTACCAGGCCCCTTCTTTAGAGGATTCGGTGCTCGGAGCTGGACAGCTCCTCGACTCTGCACGCAGTCGCGCTTCCTCTGCACGTCACGTGCCTTGGTCTGCCCCATACCAGGCCCATGCAGGAACAGTATTATCAGCTAGGAGGCTGGTGAGAGTGAGGCCAGGTGTTGGACCAGGTGTTGGTCACGTCTCAGAAGACAACTGCAAAGGCCTAGTTATGTGGACAGAGTCAGCCGTCAGGAGGGTGGGAAGGCTTGGGGCAAATGGGGAAGACTAATCTCAGACTGTACCTGATGGTGCGAACTGCAGCCAGGCACTTCTGAGGGCAGAGGAGACAGCAGAGCATCTGGCAGCAGCAGTGGCAGCTTCGGCCAGAGCCCAGGCCTTGCAGGAATCCTCCGGCTTGTCCATCACTGCTCAATTTCACAAGGTAGCCTGAGCCTAAGGACTAGATCCTGTAAACATCAGAAGGATTTTTCTCCTGACCCAGCAGAATGCTGTAATCCGAGAATCACGTGTCTGACATTCCCATAGCTCTTGGCCGGGCTTTAGTATCTACCTAGTCTGAGTGTTCAGCCCAAGTTATAAATCAGTGTGTACAATGAGAATGTTGAATTCCGGTCACATGATTTTTCTACTTAGTGAGTACTTACAAAATGAATTTTCATCTTGGGAGGGTATCTGACACATTCTTCATAGAAAGCACTCTCCATGACCTTGACCGGCACCCCTAGCTTGCTAAAACTGCCATTCCTAATTTAGAAGTTTTATGTAATTATGGTTTTATGCAATCATGATCCCACTAACTTTATCAAAACCTGTAGTTACTGAAAGATCCAGTGAATTCCCAAGAGCCTATGTGACTTAATAAGAAAAATATCTTTGGAAAACTTCTACATCAGTGCAAGTCAACAGAAAACATTGTTAAGGAGTCACTAGTCTCTGATTTCAGGCCATGTACAATTCTGCCAAATCTGCTACCTTCAGAGATCAAAAAAAAGCAATGAAAAAGTAGAAGAAACACAAATCAAATCAAACCAGAACAGAGTTTACACCAGAGTTTCACTGGGGACTTACTCATAGCCCAAGTGTCTTCTTATATTAAAACCCTCCCCAGAGGATTAACTTGAAAAGTATTACAGGCTCTTTAGATCTACTCATTAGCATTTTCTATCAATTGAAGAATTTTTCTCTGCTAAAACATCACTGAAAATGAAAAGAAAAAATCAGAGCCGATATAGTCCAAATGGCTAAGAGCATTTCTGGAGGCAGACTGGCTCGAATCTCAGCCGGCCCCGATCGGCCTGGTGACCTTGCTGCTTCTCTTGGGTCCTCAGTTTCCTTTTCTGTAGAGTTAGGATAATAACAGTACCTGACTGATGGAGCTGCTGTGAGGATTAAATGGCTTTGAACAGTGCTGGGTACGTAATGACCTGGGGACCATGTTGCTACTGTTTCTGTTAGAAGAGTCCCAGGAAGAGTCTGGAGGGAAAAAGCCTTCTGTTGCTCAGAAGATTCACTCATTAACCTGTAGCTTGTGCGTTGTGCATAATCACCTACAAACTGGAGAAAGCAGGAGAAAGCTCTGGGACGGCTTCACAGCGGGACTGGCAGGCAGCCCGCCCACGGCCAGGTAACACCCACGGCCTCGCAGGCAGGAGTAGTTGTGCTGCGGTCGGGCGCTGGCCTTCCCGTCTGGGCTGCGGACCCCACTCCTAGGCCACGCAGGCGCCATGCCCAGGGTCTGGAGGCTCCTCTGCAGACAATCTGGTTATCAACAGAGCTGACTGCTATGTCTTCCTTTACAGAGACCTTTAAGTATCTGGAAGGTTTAGGATAATTGGGATACTAATGCAAATCTCATTTCTATCACGTGCTTCTGGTGTGATTCATCACTAACCACCTTTATTATTAAAACTAGACTTTGGGTTTAATATCTCTAAAAGCCTATTACCCTTTAGTGGGGACAGATGGTCTTGAATTTGTCAAAAGGTCAGCAAGGGGACCTGAGAACAAAGAGCCCAGGTGTCAACAAAGTGGAGCACAGATCCTGAACAGGTATTTCAACGGATTTTGTATCTGTGTCCTTGGAAGAGCCCATTGTGCTTAGCACGGTCCTAAGCTCGCCACAAAGAGCCACTCACTGCACCCGCATGGCGACCCTGGGAGGCCGGCTCCGTCATTATCCAACTTTTACAGATGAGGAAGCCAAAGAGGTTACATACCTAACACAAGGCCAGACCGTTGGTTTGTGGTGGAGCCGGACTGGACGCTGTGTCTGCTTCCAGATGCAGTGTTCTTAACCACTAGACTATGCTGCTCAGAATGCCCTACGGAACAATAGCACAGTCCTGATTAGCTGTTTATACTGTGTCGGCCAAAGAGCCTGGCTACTGTCCCAATGTTCACATTCACTTCTGCCTGTATTTATGTGGACACGTGAAACTCTTTTCAGTTCTCCTTTCTGGAAACAGGAATATGATTTTCAGTCACCCCTTCCAGTTTATCTCTATAAATATAAGACAACTATTAAAACTTAACCTTTCTTTGCTCTTATCACCCCATTTTCTATCCCGATCACCCACTCTAAGAAAAAATCAAAACATATAGATGCATTGGGAGGAAGCTACGGTTGGGTGCTCACTCCGCTGAGGTGTGGCCACCATAAATACACCATCAGAACTATGAAAAGTACCAGAAACTACACGTAACTGGCCTCGGGCTTCTTCTCTCACGTACAGACGCCACCTGATTAGAGTATGATCTTTGCCCCTTGCTCAGTAACTGTGAGGAAAAAGGCCTACTAAAAACGAGTATAAAAATAGAGAAATGCTTTGTAGCAGAGCTTTTTGTATTTCGACAGTCACAAGACCATTATTGTAGAATGTTTATTGAGCTCTAAAAATGCAGTCGGTGGCACACAAAACATTAGACGCAGTACCTGCCCGGTGGGCTTACAATCTAATCTAAGGACACGATCATTTCTTAATGTTGCCGTGAGTGTGCTGTTTGTGAAAATGAGGTATTAACTGCACCGCGAGTGCAGGAGTGCCTGCAGAATCGCTGACTTCTGTGCCGGCTTCCCCATGCAGTAGGCATGGTTACTCATGTTACCCATCCTCTCAAAGTACGGTTGGCATCTCCCTAAAGGCAGTGATTTTTGTAATGTGTGCAAGTGTCTATAAAAAACACCAAACCCACATTTCTGAAAATCGGTGTTCAAATCTGGCCTGTAGTACAGAAGAAAAAAATTGGTTATGCAGTCAGACAAACACTGTTATTCCAAATAGGCCCTAGGGAAAAAGAGTGACAGGGACCAAACTCCCCTTCAGTGTTCCTAGAACAACCACAGGAGGGCAACTCAGGGCAGCCTCTCGAATGCCATTTACTCTCACAGTCCAGAGATGAAGGGCGCAGCAGTTGCTGGGCTGTTTACCCATCTGCCTTGGGGGAGGTGCGCGAGGGCCTCACGGGTCACAATGCAGGTGTCCTTGGCAACACACCACGCTAATTGAATTTCTATCTCCAGAGAGTGGCAAAACTGTACCAAGCGTCCCCAGAAAGCGTCAGTAATTTGTAAAAAGGTGGCCTGCTAAAACATCTGTCACTGATACAAATCCATAAACATGCTGCTTATGAAAGCTTGTCCTTTTCTTGTCATAGTAAAGTCCAGTGTTCGGCAACACCTTTACCTGTGAACCACTTAGCAGAATAAACTGATTCTATATGGAAGGAAATGTAAGATAACTGACATATATTTAAAGCAAATTAGTTTTTCATTCTTATTTGTGCCTTTAGATTCTTTTGTGTCTTTACTTTGATCCTGATAAACTAATAATTCACCACTTATTACAGTTAGATTCCCAATTCTTTATTCATGTATATCTTGAATTTCAGTAAGATAAGAAAATGCAGTCTCCAGGGTTGTATTTTGTAATGATACAAGGATCCCGAGGAAATCTTCTCACAGAAGCATTTTCTAATACAGATTTTCCCCTGTACTTATGAAAAGTATCAAAAAAGACCAACCGTGACATTCTGATGTATGTTCTAAACAAGTAGAGAAGTACAAATGGGAAGCCCCTGCCTTTCTGTTGTGTAAGCTGACCAGCCATACTTCTAAATCAATGATAGTTTGATTTGAAAGGGCTGCCTGCAGGTACGTTGGTCATTTATAGGAGTTAACCGTAGTCCTATCCCCATGGGTGCTGGTAACAACCTTATCTTACACAACCCTTAGCATTTTTTAAGTTGCATAGGGAACAAATATGTGAATAAATAAACAGACAAAAATACATAATAAAGGGTTGTGAGCTCTTGCTCCAGGAGTAGGTGAAAGACCGTAAATGAAACTGAGGTCCTCAGTGCTTCTCAACTATGTACTTTCTTCATTTTTATTGGAACACATTTTGGGAGCCACAGCTGAGTCCTTATATAGGATCTCCAGAATGCAGACCAGAAAAAAACTGAGACTTTACTCAGATTTTTCTGTTAAGTTGAACTAATGTTTGATACGGGGCACTGGATGGGTTAAAATGTAGCTGGTAACAAAGCCATGCTAAAGAGGGTATACTTTATTTGAACAGTCATGTCAAGACTGACCCTAAATTCACTGAAATACTGAAGACTATGGATTGTTTGAAAGGACTGGTTTCGAGGGCAAAGGAACATGGTCTGAATGAATCATTCAGACCTCATCGTGCGTCCAGCTGAACGCAGACTTCATGCTCACCCTCTTTTTCTTTAATGCAACAGGCTCAGTTTTCTCACATCGGTGCTTCTCTTCATGCGAGAACTGCTTATGTCTACAGAGTCCCCGAAGATGCGAAAATCCTCTTTCTAGCATTAAACATAGCGTATGGAGTTCTTCCTCAGCTCCTGGCCTATCGCTGTATCTACAAACCAGAATTCTTCATAAAGACAAAGGTGGATGAAAAAGTTGAATAAAAACATTATTTCATGCTGTTCTTCTCTAGTTTACTGACTTTTGTTATGCTGGTTCTGATATTTTGTCCCATTGTACTCCCTTCCCATAGAAGAACGCTTAATACATAAATTCTTCTTTTGTACTATATGCGTGAGCTATACATGGTATTATCTGGGTAAATTTTTTTTCGAATGAAAACTGAAGCTGAGCAACTTTTTGTTTAAAGAAATATATTCAAAATTCTTTGTGAATAAATTTGACCATCTATCGCAATACTGTTTGCACATATTAAATATAACTGTGAAAAATTACAATTTAGCTCCTGTAACAGTGAGCATGGAAACAAAACTCTTCAAAAGTGAATATGGTTTATGCATATTAAAAATTCAAAATAGCAGAGGCTGGAGAAATATTTTTTGCATATAAGATGTATATGCTTATCAACATCGATATAAAAGGCAAATTACCAAGTATTTTTAAATGTTATTTGAAAAATGTTTTCCCAAGGAAAGTATATTATTTACTGCTGTTACTAAACTTTTTTTGTGAGTCTAAAGAGCTAAGGAGGGATAGATAACTTTATTGTTATCTTTAATGGAATATTTGTTTTATTGGTGACTGGAGATATTTCTACTGTATTTCTCTGTATATTTTTAATAAAATTATTTTTGGCCTTTTATGAAGATAAATCTTATTAAATTTGAAACATTTTATATCTTTTTCTGAAAAAGTTTTGTGGTCTTTGGGCTTTTCACTTACAAAATTTATCAGTAATATGTTCCAATTCAAAATCCCATCTACATTCTCCTTATGTTTCAGTGTGAGCCATGAAGAGCCCTTTTGATGAAATAATTAAATTTCATTAATTTTAAATTAAAATACTGAGAATTAAAAATACTTTTTAAGGAAAAAGTAGATTGTCATTCCTATTTTTAATGAACTTTTCATATTTAGAATTGTGAGTACAATAAAAAAAATCGATATTTGCTAAGTGAGAGAAACCCCAAGTCCAGCTGCCTCCTCAGTGCCCTACAGTGATAATGGACTGGTGCTTTCATGCCCTCGGCTGCCATCATCACCGTCACCATCATCATCATCAATGGTCCTAGGCTTTTAGAGCTTTCACATTTTCTCTTCATGTTATTTATTAGCTCTTCACCGAAATAAGAACACTAAATGAAAATGAGGTTCAAATCAATACATGGATAATGTCAGGTGTCTGAATTTAGGGTCCACTGAGTTGGTAAATATCTTAGATGTACATGCAATCATGGAGCCTTTCCTCTCCCTCCTCAGTGTTTACAAAAAAACCTCTAAAACCCAGAGAGTGTATAAAAAGAAAAAGAAAACCCTCACCTGCACTTGATTCTATTGTCAATTTGCTGTTAACAAATTTTGCTTTAATATATGAATTACATTAATACCTCACATTACATATATAAAGCCAAATTACACTAACTTAGTTGTTTACAACCTCAAATCTTACTCCCAGTACACATTCCAATAAATTTATTCTGTAAAAACAATACATTTTTTTGTTTTTGATTTTTTTTTTTACAGTAAACTTTCAACTACAAACCTCGAATACGCGAAAGATGTTCCAAGGACAAGCATAACAGGATTGATAAAACCCAAAACTGACTAAATGTGTTCTCACAATAGAAGCTGGCATAAAAATAAATAAAATTCTCTATTATCACAATAGCAACAATGTACACGTAATGATGGTTTGTGGATGGATAGTAACTATTCTAGTTCTAGTTCTGAAAGAAAACAACAAATCCATTTTAAAAGTCTATATTTAAAAGTCAATGCTTTGTCTGGTTTCCCATAGGGCTACTGCTGATTCCAGCTTTAAAATGGAAAGTACCCACCTTGAGTGATTCGCTCAAACTGTACTGGCAGTGGGAAAAAATAAATGTTGCCTTTATTTTGGAGTAACACAAAAAGACTCACTGACTTCACATATAGAAACTGAGTTTGAGTACATAACGACATGAGTTTTGAGAAGTATAAGCTGTCAACTAGCTATTTCTAATACAGAATAGATATTTTACAATATGATTAAACTTTACACATGGCCTCAAAACTGAAGGACGATCCTAATTCCATCTTCAATGTGCCAGCATTACGTATCTAGGAATGGTTCCTGGGTTCTGTTATAGAGAGGAAACACGCATCATTGAGTGGTCATTTTTAAAAAATGCGAATTTATGTTTAACTGAGTGTTTGGTGATGGTGGAGTAAAGGCAGGAGAATTGTGAACTTAACTGCCTTGATAAAAGGACCCTAGACATGTATAAGTTTGTGCAAAAATCTTGATAATCCTTAGTGGTTAAGGGCAACTTCATGCAACCAAATAACATGAAATTAAATCAATAACCTTAAAAAAGGCTCAATGTCTTTTTTTTCTTTCCCCAAACACAACAGAGAGGAATGAATAATGCACATACAAACTGGGGCTCTGTCAATGACAACAAGGACTGTGTTGGTTCATATCAAATCCAAGAATATTAGACAACCAAACGCACAACCTTCTGGTGGTTTCTCTTAATATGCAGCATTCACGGTAGTTAGGTCTGTGAAAAAAGAAAGACAACAAACCGTTAGATGACTGAGGATACCAACAATAAAAACTATCCACGCCTGCGCAGTATACAACTGGACCTTCTGAGGTTCCCACCTGCAGTGCAGCACTGGCTACGCTTAGCAAGATCAACCAGAGGCTCTGCTTTACACCTATCGATGCAAAAAGCCAAAGGAACCAATAGGACATCTTTAGTGCTCCATTAAAAAAAAGACAAGAAAATAAATAAATAAATTCTGCCTAATGTCTGCAGGGCACTGAGTGCAGTAGTGTGCCCTGCAGACAGCAGGCAAACTCTAGGACAGTGTGTTGCCGGGACACATACAGTCAATGGAGAAACAGGTCACGCATCTTTATGAGGACTGTGGTGCCAGAAAGAAAGGCAAGCTGCTGAAAATTTAAAAAGCATTTGGAGTATGTGCAAATTATTCCGTATAATATTTACAACTTAATTACTGTGACATATGGCTCATAGAAATGCAAGAGTTGACAAAATCAAGATGTAGAAAAAGAAAAGAAGCTTAGTTTTCTTTTAGAATTTAGATGGCATCCATGTGACAAAGACAACATTTTTCCATTTCCTAAAAGAATGGTATTTCAATGTGGGTCTCACTTTAAACCGTGTCAGGTTACATTTTCCCACAGGGATGCTATTTTTGTTTTCTTTATCATTAACCCAAATACATTAAACCCCATAGTAACGGTCTCAAGGGATGAATGAAAGAGGGAACTCAGGCCCCAAATATTTTTTTCTAAAGACAGCCTGCTTAAGCTCTTTACTTCATTAAAGTGGACGAATGTGTTTGTAAGCACATATGTGCTCACTCGTGGCTATGTTCTCACTTACAGACCCAACATCTACATTGAACTGTACATGATACTGTATATGAACGATTCCAAGACCTCCAAACAGGAAACGCTGCTAAACCTGCCATCCCTTCAAGTGGCAGAAATGTATTTCTTAGCCACGGTTACTACCAAAATGAGGCCAATCTTAGAAAGAAAAAAAAAAAAATTACATTTAAAATCTGTGAACTTGCAAAATGCAGTGCTTAGTGATGCCTAACTATTAACAAATAAAAGAATTAGCTATAAGATTATACTCACAGACTTTGAAGGATTTTCCTCCCTTAGGAGGAGGAAGACACCCATTAAAACAAACTTCTTTAACATGTCTTTTTAGAAATGTTAACATGAAAGGCAATTCTATGTCAACACTGGTAGAAAATTCATAGTAACAACTACTCAATCCATATTGAAGAATATTTTTGGAACAGACAGTCCTACGCGAGCCTCAGAAAATTATTATTGCCCCAAACAAAGTGAAGGTGGTACTAGAACGTGACCACGATCGTGTGTGTGTGTCTTTAAACAAACTGCTATCAAATGGGTACTTATAAAAGCAAATTATGAATCTGATTTTTTTAAACTTCTCATACCATAATCACTCTATTTGCAGCTATGCATCAAAAAATATCTTGCTAATTCGCAACAGTGTATATTATGGACATAAGTGCTCTGAAGGTTTGCCAGACAGGGAGTCCCCTGCAAGTGAGCAGCCAGAAATGCTTCTTTGTGCACAGGTTGCGACACCCTGTGCCATGCCACCCCTATATCAGATAGATGGCCAGCTAATCCAATCAGATTCTCTTCTGAGGCATCTGAACATAAGGCCCATGGAAAGGCTGTAGGGCGGCAGTGAGTTGAAGGACGCCCAGAACACAGCAAGCAGAAGTTACAAGGTAGTACTGGTCATAGGTTTTTCCATGGAGCGCCATTTATACTTGAAAAAATGATGACATAAACTATGATTATTCGGACTTGGGTATTGGGCACTTTGTCAAAAATAAATGAAATGAGAGTATTACTTCAAGGAAAACAACCAGCAGTATTTGTTGCCAATGATAAAATTTTAGCTTTTGAGTAAAAACTAGAACTCTGGAAAACTGAAACCTTCCACAACTGACAGCTTTCCAGTATTTAAAGATTTTTCTGACATGATAGGTAGTGACATTACAAATGTGACTTAAAATATTTTATAATGAAATGGATATATTTACAATGAAACATTTGGAAAACATGAAGAACTCAGGGAACCAATATTTTCCAAATGAGTAGAAGCTATTCCAAGTGCCAGAGAGGCCAAAGGATTTTAAATTAATGGAATATATAAAAATTATAGATTCCACATTACAACTAACCTTTGAGAAACTACCACTTAAAGAATTGGTGTAATGTCAAAGAAGAATATCCACAATGATCCGAAAAGCCCATTAAAATACTTATATGCATTTTACAACTATCTGAGGCCAGATTTTCTTCATATAATTCAACCGAAATATATCACAACAAACCAAATACAGAAGCAGATGAGAATCCTGATGTTTTCTATTAAACCAGATTTTCCAAGTGTAAAAGAATATCATATTTCTCAAAAAAATTGTTTGGAAAATGCAGTTATTTTTCATAAAAATGTGTTATTTCCATTAAGTAATGAGATTATTATTTTTAAATGAATTAATAAATGTCTTAAAAACTTTGTTTTCATTTCTAATTAAATAAATATCGATAGCCATAACAAATAGCTATAACAAAGCTCTTTGGGGCCCACAATAACTGAAGAGTATTAAAGGGGTCCTGAGACCGACGAGTTTAAACAAAGGAGTAAATGGTAAGAAACGAGGCTGGAAAGATAAACTGGGTTTGCAGTGTGAAGGTTGAAATATGCTGAAATAAGGAGTTTGGGCTTGTCTTGAGGACGATGGGGAGACACAAGGAGGCTGCACTACACAGAAAGAACACACCTGAGTGTGGGCTGGACCTTGTGACCTGCTGCTAATGAACAAAATGGGGCAAAAGTGATGGGATGACACTTCTGAGATTAGATTACAAAAGACAGACTTCTGTCTTGCTAGCCCTCTCTCTTGCTGGTACTTTTTTGCTCGCTCTGATGAAGCCAGTTGCCTAGCTGGAGCTGCCTTATGGAGGGAGTCATGTGGCAAGGAACCACGCAAGGCCTCTGGCCAACAGTTAGTGAGAAACTGAGGCCCTCAGTCCAACTGTGAGGAACTCAGTCCTGTCAACAACTACGTGAATGAGCTTGGAAGAGGCCCTACCCCCGACTTGAGCTTCAAAATGATTTAAGCCTCTGCTATTACTTTAACTGCCGCTTTGGAGAGACCCAGAGACAGAAGACTCAACAAGTTAGGCTTGTCTGGATTCATGATCCACAGAAAATGCTAGATAATAAATGCTGTTTTAAACCACTACGTTGGGGGTAATTTGCTTAATGGCCATAGATAACATAGCAGGTCCAAGCCCATCCACGCATGGTGTCCTGGCCACAAAGCGTGACTTACGC